TGGCACTTGTTCCTTACAATGTGGGACCTTCCTCCAACATGAACCAGTTCTGTACGGTGCCCCAGTTACAGGCGTGGGGATGGGAGGAAAGGAAGTGATTCCTGGAATGTTTCCTCCGGTGTTTCCTCAGACACGTATACAGAAAGATGAAACACCCGGATTGTGTTCAGAGACTGTGAGGCAATCAATGTAGGAGTTAACCTTGCAATTGTCTGATACTGAGAAATGTATTAGTGTCTGTGATTGCGTGTTAGGTGCTTCCTGGTGTTTTGCTCCGTTGCCGAAACGTTGACATTTCTACAGTGTGACTGCAGGAAGGAAATATTGTCTTGGACATAGTGTCTGTATTGGTGAAATTGGCGTAACATAGCAACACATTCCATAAAATGTCAGCCAGCACTGAGCACCGATCTTCAAAATGTGAAAGATCATATTTTGCCAAATCTAATGACTGTTGTGGTCATATTAAAAGATTCCTTTGTGAAATCGTTACAGCGGTGCAGATATCCCAGCGAAATCCATCCAACAAGCCGGGGGTTAAGAGGTCAAAGTGATGATTATCATTAATGAAATTGGCCGTTTATGGATTTGTGAAAACTTGATGCGGAATACCTGAGCCTGTCAACACGGAAAACAATACAGATCTGGAAATAATATACTCTCCCCAAAAAGAAACGCATCGTGAAAATAGCAATTTCATGTAGCAATGAATTAAAACGTGATTCATTTTACAAAAGGAGTCCTATGGTGTTTATATTTTGAAACATCACAACAAAACGCACCATCCGTAAAATACCCGTATTTAACAGCATGATGTGTCACAGAATACACAATTCACATGCAAAGCACGTGAAAGTTGGGGATCAGATATTCTCAATGATGGGTATAAAAGGTTGATCGCTGTCTGTCGATTATTCACTGTATTTGGAATATTGTTGACGAACGCAAAATGCCACGTCTAAGTGAAGCCAACCGTTATATCGCCATTGGTTTGCTTGAAGCTGGCCAGTCTCAACGTGCAGTTGCCCGACGCATGAATTTCACCAAAGCACCATTTCACGGCTCTGGGAGAGATATCGCCGGCAGAATTCGGTAGCAGATGCCCCTCGTAGTGAGCGACCTCGAGCGACCACTGTGGCGAGGATCGCTACATCCGGGTACATCACCTGCGTCATCGAACAGCTACGGCGACCAGTACCGCTCTACAAATACCCGGATTGAGGAGGCTTTCTGCACAGATCGTCAAGAACAGGTTGAGAGAGGCTGGTTTACGTGCCAGAAGACCTTATTTTGGCCGTGCGCTTCGACAACAACATCGTCGACATCAAGTTCAATGGTGCACCAACGTTCAGGCCTGCAACCTACCGAATTGGCGTAGAATCTGGTTCAGTAATGAATCACGATTTCTATTGAAACGACGCGATGGAAGAATGCGGGTGTACAGACGTCGACGTGAACGTTCCGCCGACGCTTGCGTTTCCCAGGTGGACAGATTCTGCCGGGGCAGTGTTATGATGTGGGGAGCGATCACCTGCTGTAGGAGAAGTGTTTTGGTGATGATCCAGGGCAACCTGACAGCTCAACGGTACTGTGACGAAATCCTACGCCCACACCTCCTTCCAATTATTGATCGCCAGAGGGAGTTGTTTTAACAGGACAATGCCAGAACCCACACAGCACGTCACACTAGAGACTTCCTCCAGAACCACAACATCAATGTGCTCCCCTGGCCCTCAAGATCACAGGACTTAAACCCGATCGAACATCTGTGGGATGCCCTGGACAGACGGGTGCGACGCCGTAACCCTCAGCCCCAGACACTTCAGCAACTCGCGCAGGCACTACAGGCAGAGTGGGCTGCGATTGGGCAACACGAGATCCTGAGACGTATTCGTTCGATGCCGAGGCGATGCCGTGCAGTTCTGGATGCCCACGGTGGTCACACGAGGTATTGACTCCAGCGCCACCACACGTCTCCATGTGACACTCAAACTGACTTTCCTCGAGTTGGTGCCAGAGACAGATAAGTCTGCATTCCCAGTGTGCAATTTCGCTATATTTCATTGACTCATAAAGCCTACAAGATGTTTCAAAATATACATAAAAATACAGTTGAAATTCCTATATGCGTTTCTTTTTTGGGAGAGTATATATATCATTTTGCCCCGTTTTATTAAGCACAATGTTAATCAGTATACAGGAGATCGGTATGCCTGTGATCACGGGGCCTCATTTGGATTGTAGTTATTACACCATTTTATAACATTTATCCATACGCAAAGTATGTAAATATGGTCATATCGGAGTATATCTGCATGATTTGACTATTTAAACATGTACTGATCACCCTGCGTTCTTCTGATCGTTATTACTAGCAAGTAATACAGAACCAAGAGAAATATAGAGATGATCATATGTGCCCATATATATGTACGTTACATGCATCAATTAAACGTTTCATATAATCCGATTATATTGGCTGTGTTCAGCTGGTAAAGAAATATAATATCTGCGATTGATTCACCGGGTTTCATATTTCTGGAGCTGGTCAAAGGGCGTTAATAAAAGCTATATGTTTAAAGAAGCGCCTGTAAAATATCTACATCACAGTAAGTCATCACATTTCAAAAATGACTATCGCCGGGAAGGCCACGTTTCAATTACATGGCTGTAGCCGGTAAAGCCACATTTCCAATAGATTAATTAATGGATTACCGTAACCGGTAAAACAGTGTCCCATGTATAATAATATATTCACTAGAAACGAATAATCGTTCCTACTCACAAGCGTGGTGTTTAGCAGTACCGGTAAAAGACTGTTCCTACACTAAACGCCAAAAGAAACGTTACCCTCCTACCTTTATGAATTACTTAAAACTATCAAAGATATGTTAGAAGGCATTAGCTTACAAGAGAGCTTAACAACACAGCTTTATGAAAATCACGAACCAAATTCTCCAACGCATTCATTTTTATGTGAAATGCATCTTTTTCAGAAGCGTTAAATTGTCCAATTTTCGACCATGCCGAAATAAACCAATAACAGTGATTTAGATGTCCACAAGAAAGGTTGAAATAAAATTCTGCTTTGAAACAGAGATAAAAAAATTAAAGTCACCATATTTCAATTATTAAAACAAAAAACAACTGTTGTAGAGTGTGTACAATTGTAAAAGAATCATTTCTATGATTTCAGTCTTTTAAAACATTTTCTGCTGATTTGCATTAGTGAAAACAAGTAAAACGTGTCTTTGATATTGTGAAAAAGTGTTTAGGAACACCTAAAATGATCTTTGTTAACATTTTTGCTTGCGAAGTAACATTTTTCCATTTTCTGTTTACACACTGCAATATCAATCGCCAAAACGTAGCAATATTCAAGCAGTATTTGCATCAATACATATAACCATTGACGCTCGTATTGCATCACTGAAGACCAAGCTTCTGAACCAACACCTGAGTGACATGGAATATACGGACCATGTGGGCGACCTCCTTCATCTACAGTAGGGGTGTAAAAAAGAATGTTTTTAAATGATGTTTTGTGGTCTTACGCCATTTTATCTGTTTGTACACATGGCAACAAACTAAACCATTATCGTTATTGTTATGTTTTACGGATTAAGATTTATTATTATTATGTGATAATATTATATATAAAATATTGTGCTAATTATAGAAATAAAATCTGTAGTGATCTGAATAAAAGTATGAGGAAACATGTCTTGTTTTGTTAAATACGGTAACCTGTTTGGATCACTAAGCATGTTTTGAGGACATGTTTGTATTGTATTCACTTCCATTAATTTACACTATCACCTATAAAGGTTTCCCTTATGATTTATCTTTTTGTTGCGCAATAAATTTCCCCCTGAAAAAAATAACTGCATTTTCAAGTATATTTCACACCTAATTGTAATAATTATCCTCTCTGATAAACAATATCATTTTACAGGCACTATTTAAAAATAATTTAAATATATTGATCTAGAAATGAACACGACAGAGTAACTATAATCGGAAATTAGCACTGTTCCTATGCAACCTTTGGAAGAAGTGAAGAATAAGGTCTTGAACGAAGACTAAATTCAGTTGGTTATGATGAAAGCGCCATGTCATTGAATCGACTCTGGATCAGACAATCCGGTGACTGGTAGTAGTGATCCTCGCCATCTAGGTAGGGTGACAAAACACCGAGCCTGACCACCTGAGGCATTGGCGGATCGGGTGTTACGCCTCCTCCAACCCCCCACCCCTCTTTTGCACACTCTTGAGAAAGGGGTGGGGTGGGGGTTGGGTTTGCACACTTCATTTTCACCCGTTTTCAATGGTCAATTTTAATATTTTCAGGACGAAGTGGGAAGTAGGGGTGCGCATCCTGCAAACCACCCCACACCCACCCCCCTCCCCTCTGGATCCGCCTATGCTGATATGTATAACCAGGGATCGAGACTATATGATCATCGTTGTTGTAGATTATCCCTCGTATAACTAGCCATGCATGATCTGAATTATGCGAGTGTCACAATTCCTGTATTTAACTGAAAATTTTCAGCCCATATGTTCCGTGCTTTTGAACACCGTGCATACTTTTGTGAAATGGGGGTTAGTTTCCTCCAAAATCTTCAGAGTCAGAAACACACATTTCAAACAATGATGTTGCTGGACACGATATATTAAACAACATTTGGTGCCATAGATTAGTTTGATCCAGAATATATCTCACATGTAATCATTTAATCTGCTGAAGAGACATAAAGCGACCCATGTTCCTACAATCCTTGTCTGAAGGTTTCATGTGACTCTTTTGTCAATTAAAATTTACATCACAACAAACATAATTCTAATGTGGCTCTTTTCCCGTTCATATTTGCGCAGCGTCTAAATGTGACTGCTAGACGGAGCCCAGTGAAATCCGGAAGTGTGGCAGAACGGGTCACGTTGTTATCATGTGACTTGTCAAGTATGGCGACTTCCAGTGAACGATAAACAGAGTTCCGCCCGTGTGATACAGAATTGTGAGAAGAGCAGGGAAGGGTGCACACCTCTGGATGATTTGAATGATCTCCCGGCATAACGATGAGTGTGTTAGAGAGTATCAAGGGTACTTTCCACAGTGTACAGCAGGATATATTTGACGGGTAAAGTTTCTGTCGTGTACTGATGTAGTTCACTTAGTAAACATGGTTGATGAAGACGTTGACGAAGACACATTAGGTGCTATTGTCATCTGATCTTGGGTATCGTATCTTGGGTTAAGAGATAACATCGAAACATACTTTTATGTACTCATTTACTTGCAAATAATCAATACAGTATTATTTCCTACTGCATTGCGTGTGTCGTAGAGTCGCAGTTTCTGTAGTGTAATTATTCCCGTGGGCACCATAGCAGACACCCATATTTCTCAAGGGAAATTATTCCATTGGTACAGTTTCTAGTTGGAAGATCTTTGCATGATACATTTACATTTGCAATATTTGCTCATGGAACTAACTCTATGTGAATCAGATCGTCTTAGCCTCACTAACACCAGCTGTCACTGTTTGTAATACCACCCTTGAGGTCACTCCATTATCCTTAGTGTAGGCATTCCGTGAAAGGAACATGAAACTAGTGTTCAGAGTGCTGTCTCTATGTGGCTTTAAACGTACAAGTGCAGATTTCCAAGGTGCAAAACTATTTGTATGTACATAAAGTGAAGTTGATGTATGAAATATGACAATATTACATGTTTATTATTACATGTAGTGCTAGGGATCTGGGGTCAGTTGCAGTAGTAGCGACATCGGTGTAGATCCTAACCACGTTATCAAGCAAATGATGCTTGATATGCTTGAAGGGAAAGTCATTTGCTTGATAACAGTGTTAGGATCTACACCGAAACGTCATAACTACTACTGCAACAAAGAAGTTGTCTATCCATAAAAGTGTTCCACTTCATCATACCAGCTTCTAAATGCCACTTAAGGAAGCTATTGTTGTGCTTTGAGAACTGAACAATGTGAAGGTGTGATGTCATAGTTGGGAATACTTGTCATGTTGTCCTTATTATTGGCTTGTGAACTATTTGGTCATGAAAACAAACATTTGGTCATGTTCACAAATCAGTGTCCTATCTGAATACAGCGTTTTCTCTATTTACAGGCATTTGTTAAACTGTACATATGTTACAAGACAAATCTTATGGACATACATGTATTGTCAGACATGTGAATTTGTAACAAACATGGCAGGTTTGCTGAAAGTTTACTTTGTTTCTTTGTTATAAGTATGAACACAGGTGACTTTTTCAACACCACCTGCATTGTGAGAACAAGATTGAGTGATTCTACCAAAAGTAGCAATATTGACACATGCTTTCAGTATGTTCACCACAAATATTTGTTGGCACTATTAATGTCGTGTATGTTAATCAACATTTACGAAAACAATACTTAGCTGCACAGTTTGGCACAATATTAATTTATACAAAACATAAGCAATCAGCATCAATTGTCACAATCATAAAAACTATTTTTATTGTTTCATATATCCTGTTGATAGTGTCAAAACACAAAAGTGATAATTGTGTATTTATTATATGTCTTGTATTCTCATTTGGAATCTGACAATGGACTAATCCATTTTACCACTTTGGTAACCATGGTAACAAGTAGGAGAACGAAAGGGTATCTGACTAAGAAGATGAGACCATGGTGGGAAAGGGGTTTGTGCATGCATGATTAACACCAGGTTCCCACTAGATTTCTTGACTTTCATACGTAAATGCAGAGGTTAAAAAATCCCGACGCCCAGGACAAGTCAGTTTTCATTTCGGGCAATCAAATAATGGTATCTTACTTGTCCATGGGCTACTAGATAATTTCCACTAATGGTTTCAAACTGCAAATAAACTTGGATTTAATTTCAAATCTGCTCAAAATGTAGCTATTACATTTCGCAATGATAATGAAGTAGAGTTATCTTTCTTTGCTATTTATCACTTTTCAATAAATAGTCCAGTAAACATTAACATCAAATACCATGTTGATTTCTTCTTTCATAATTATGTCATAAAATCAGGGCAAGTGGAAAATTAGTCAGGACAAGTTACTTCTTAAAGCCCTGTGGCAAGTGGCTTTTAAAAAAAAAATTGAACCCCTGGTAAATGTTTGATAATGTTCAACACTGTTCTACTCTCTGCCTACTTAAGTCTGAAGGCACTGACGTCACTGGATGCTCAGCCTCGACAGGATATCCTCAAGCGATTGCGATCAGATGGAGTCAGTCTCGATGCAGGGGCAGATTTGCTCAACAAGTAAGTTTATTATGTCTATTGCTGCTTATGTATGAGTTTAAGAAGCTAACTGTCATGCATGAATGTTTTGCTGATAAATCACATGCACTGACCCATGGTACATTGTATACTGGTACACGGTACCCTGGGATATTAGTGTGATGAGCACAATTAGAACAGGCCTTTACTGCTAAACTGGCCTAAAGGTTTTAGCAATTCATGCTCGTCGTAAGAGATGAACCATGTGTGGTAGTCAGGCTTGCTGAATTGGTCAGTCACTGGATTGTATGGTCAAGATTTGATTATTTGCAGAGTAGGACATTAACAAGAAATGTCTAAAGAAACATGGTACATTGACACATGGCATTCTCATACATGGTTCACTGGTACTCTAGTGGTACATGGTACAGTGATACATGTATCACCAGTACATGGTACACCAATATGTGGTACACTAGTACATGTTACAGTAATATACTCCTCACAAAAAGTTAAGCAATAATATTTTCTTCATGGGTATATGAAGTTATTACTTGGCATATAAGCCATGCAGAGAACCCTACGATTGATGAACTTAAAGCATTTCCCATATTGTTTTCTGATAACATTGTTAGCACAGCCTGCATAACTGTAAACACCTCAAAACTCACATGCAAAATGCATGGAAAACATAATGCTATACACGTAGCACATGCGTTCTGATTGGGCGTTAAAACTGCCAACAGCGACAAATTGTTGACAGTAACATTTGAGAAATGGCTAAAGGCGTCTTGACACCAATTGAAGTTGCTCAAATTGTTGGAATGGTGCAGGGGTCAGACCCAGAGTGCTGTTGCCAACCATTTCAATGTTCATCGAGCGTCATCTCCAGAGCGATCACTCGTCACCAACAGACCGGATTGATGACTGAGAGACCACGCTCAGGTCGATCCAAGGGTGACAACTCCCAGAGAGGACCGATGCTTGGCCACCTAGCCCGGCCCGGAACAGGTTCACCACAGCCAGATCTCTCCAGAATGACCTCCAGAGAGTTGCTGGGAACAGAATCTCACACACAGACAGTGAGGAACAGACTCCATGCTGAAGGTCTCAGGTCGAAGACCAGTGCAAGCGTATCCACTGCCTGCACACCATCGTCAACAGAGACTGAATTGGGCTAACCAGCAGCGTAACTGGAGAGTCAATGCGCTGGCGTAATGTTCTCTTCACAGATGAGTCAAGATTCTGTCTGGACTTCAATGATGGTAGGGCTTCGTGTGTGGAGAAACCGTAACGAGCGATACATGGCTAATGCGATTGCTGAACATGATCCAGTATGGAGGTGGGAGTTTGATGATCTGGGCAGGAATCCAAGTTGGACGCATCGAACTGATCTTGTGGTCATCAGGCGAGGTACCATGACAGGGTGTGAGGTGCGAGGCGAAATTGTCACACCTGTGATCATTCCGTGGGCTCAGCAAGCGGGTCCTAACTTCATCTTCATGGATGACAATGCCCGTCCACATCGAGCAAGAGTTGTCACTGATGTTCTTCAGACCAACAACATCACCCATATGGACTGGCCTGCAAAGGTCTCCTGACCTGAATCCCATTGAACATGCTTGGGACATCCTCGGAAAGGCGTGTAATGCGGCCTCACGTTAGATCCTCAGACTCTGGATCAGCTTGAACAGGCATTGCGCGGAAGAATGGCAGAACATTCCACAACAGACTCTAGACAGACTCATCTGGTCAATGCCTAGAGCGTCTTGGAAGCGTGTATTCAGGTCAATGGTAATTTATTACTGCGTTATTAAACTTTGGATCAGTGCTCAAAACTGACAGTAAAAGTGTTTTTCAGACATTTTTCACCCTGATGCAGCACATTTTGCACGGCTTTTTCAGTGACACTGTTTTTGATGATTTGCAAGTCAGTTATTGTTCAATGAATTTTGATTTCTTTGTTGGAAAAGTGTGTGGATATGCTTTATCTTTGTTATGTTTGATTAAGTTGTAATGATCATGAGTAAAGGCATATGTACTGACCAAAAATACACTTGTTGCTTAATTTTTTGTGAGGAGTATAGATGGTACATTGATACATGTAGTACACAGTATATCGTACGTGATATGTGGTACACTTACACATGGTACATGGCGGGGTGCTCGACACCTTCTTTACCCTTCATGGCACTGGCACCATCAACAATTAGTTTTATTTCTATCAGTATTGACCTCAGAGCAGGTATGACTAAATCTCTGCAGAAGTGTGCACATGCTTGTCTATCATGCTTTATTACATAAAGATGGACAGTTTCACAGTTGATGTGTTTGACTTGTGACCCTGATGTTGCAGATATCAGAGGACATGGAAGGAGCTTCAGACGTACACCTCTCGTACAGCCAAGAAAGCCGAGGTGAGTATTTAACACGCCCAGTCAGTTCATGTTTAAGAATAAACTGTTATTTTATGTGACTTGTAGACATGTGTGAAAGCCTAATGGCGCGACTTTGGTAGCATAACCTTATTATTTGTTCTGGGTTGTTTTATTTTTGACAACAATATTATATAATGGTATATGTTGAAATAAGAGAAAATTATTGGGAATTGGTGAAAAACTAGAAATTTGATAAATGAATATATTTATACCAATATTAAAAATAATGAGTGAAAAATGAGAGTAATTGCTGAATAAATGAGAAGATAATCGAAATTTTGCTACCAAAGGGGCACCATTATGCCTTTCTGGAAAACATATTCAGCTACAGCCAAATGAGTCTTGATATGAAACCACCAAACTTTGTTGAGTGTTGTGTTATGAATTATTGCTGTGACATGCTCATCTGACCATGATGCAGGAGGTGGACAGCGAGATCGGTCAGCTGTACAGCAATTGGAACAAACAGGTGGACATGGTCAGTCAGATGGAAGAGGAGGTCGCTGAACTGCCGGACGTTGTCACACTCGTCAAGAAACTGACCACGGATCTGGGTAGGTGTCCCCCAAATTGTGTGAGTGCCCAAAATACTGGCTGTGGCAAAAACTGGAACCTACCAGTGGCGGGATACAAGTTCCTCATGCTTGTTGTCATTTGCTCTTCAAGCTGAAGTGTAGCATCTTTACTGAAGAGTGTTGAGACAACAGTGTTATATTGCAAAGTCAGCAATACTGACAGGGTTGTATTAACTAATATGTTCCTACGTGGACCTAAGGTTGATAAATGATCTACCACCATCACTGTGTGAGCGTTATGTGACACATTCAGGCAGGTCACAACCACCCAACTTGTAGCCATCCTCTGTCGACCAGTGTGTTACCTAACATGCTAGTATAAATACCCTGGACAAGTCACCAGTTGACAAGAAAAGTCGGGAGTATAATTGTGCTTGGTCTTGTTAGCTCAGATTGTATTAAGTGGCCTTCACACGACAAACTAAAGTTTGAAAACCAGCTATTCCATCAAACATTTGGTGTTGTCAAACTCAAGTTTGTCGTGTGAAGTGTTGTCAAACTCGTGTTATTCAGAAACAACTAATTGCAGTCAACTTAATTGTCACGTGACCACACCGATAGAGACATGGCTTTCAAATGACACGAAAGTTTGACAGCATGTGTTTGACGTGTGAAAACCCGAGTTTGATAGCTTTTAAAATTTTAACAGCATGTGTTGTCAAACTATAGTTTGCCATGTGAAGGCTACTTTAGACCGCATAATATACCTAAAATCTACGGAAAATGATGCTAAAACCCACGTTTTGCCATGATATAAAACTTTGTCATCCCAAACTGTGTTCCACAGGAAATATTTCTAGTGTGAAATCAAACGATATCTCCTAGGAGATATCATTTTGACAGAAGATTTTGTACAGTGCCCTGACAATGCTATGACGTCATGAACTTGATGATGTCACAATGCTATGACATCGCTGCACTGCAAGTCTAATAGCAGAACCGTGTTCAGAGATGTACATTTTTCATTGAAAACTAATGAAGAGTGATTTTTGATGATAAATAGAATCTCACCCTCGTGTCTTCTGTATATCAATACTTGTTGATAAAAGTAAAAATACCCTCGCAACCCTCGGATATTTGTAACTTTATCAACTCGTGGTGATATATTTGATATCAAAAGACACTCGGGTGAGATTCTCTATGAATATTATACACTGATAATCAGGGATAATCATGGGATGACAGTGAGCCATGTTTGACTGTCTCCAGGGTACATCAAGCGGGACTGTGAGGTCGTGGAGGGGGCCCTGGAGAGGTTGGAGAATGTTGTTGAGGAACTGGAGCATCAGAAGAACAAGAAAGCTCACCTGGTTCAGCTTGCAACTTACAAAAAGAAAAAGATGGAAGAGGTGGAGAAGGTCAAAGGTCAGTTGGAAACATTAATCACAATTATGGTTGTTAGAGCCTGTGTGAGATCAGATCATGCCTTATCATAGCTGATAAATATTGCTGTGAGATATTACTGAAAATATTACTGTGAGACATTGCTCTTGCTATGAGATATTGCTGAAAACATTGCTGTGAGGTGTTTTTGTGAAGTTTTCTGCAAGAGTAAAATGAAATAAGAGGGTTTTACAAAATGCTCTTCCTGCATACATAATTTCACGTCCCACGCTATGATATTGCTGGAATATTGCAATAAGCGGCGTGAAACTAAACTCACACATAACTAAATTCCAGATTCTTCAGGAAATGTATCAGTTGATTTTATCATTGATTTGCAAAGACCCAGTTTTGTGTAAGTACTGAGTATATTATAATCAATACTGGTTGAGTTGCACCATATCATAACGAAAAACATTAGGTCTGAAGTGTCACTGTGTAGTATGGTTGGACCATCTGAAATCCTTGAGACAAAACAAACAGACAAATGTGGTGGAACCAAGTGGTGCATATCCTGATACATGTATCATGTTTCTCACATTGTTCCTGATTATGGCTGCTTGGTCTGCGTGTCTAGGCTGATGTAATGTTACAGTGTTTTCCAATATTAACTAATATACTTGACTTCTGCAGTTCAAATGGTTGAGAGTCACATGATTTTCCTTCTGCAGATTGAATGGTAGAGAATGGCTAAGATTTTATACAAATGGCTAAGAGTCATGCAAGGGCAATGCAGGATTGTGATCGGCGGCGCCAAGCGAGCCTGAAGGAGAGACAGGAAGCCTTCAGCGAGGCCTTCACGGAAGACATGGACTTCTACAAGACACACGGCCACACAGAACGTAAGTCAGACGTCACAGATTGGCAGGTGCCACTGAAGTTCCCTTCTTTGTTGTATGAGAAACACAATGTCCTCCATGTTGTCGTGTACCGATTACAGTGATACTCTCCTGTATCCCTCACAATGCTGACAGTACAACACATCGATTGATACGTGAATGGTATCAGACTTTTAAAGATAGACAAAAGTGTTCAAACTCAAATTTTGATTGACAACAACACAACTTTCATGAACCACTTTCCTTTCTTTCATCGCTGAAATAAAACAAACATCAGAGATTCATAAATCATATTAACTCAGGAAATGTTTTGACGTAGACAGATGGAGGTGTAGGCATAACAATAAGGTTGGGTAGTGATACGATGCATATCCTGATACCATGGATGCATTACGATTCCTATCTCAACACAGTACTTGTATTTCATCAGTTAATACTTCCCCAGGTGAATCTTAACACATAAAAGTTGTTGTTTCTCCACAAAATGTCGCACACGTACCAGCTTTGTAAAGTTTTGCCGTTTGCAGTCATTGGATGTTGAATTACATTGATTCAAGACTTTGCTAAGTGATGTACAGTCGCATCAGAAACTAAAAGACTGTTGAATATTGCCTCATGATACCTCAGTCCTGTGGAGAGGTGGTGGTGTCACTACGTGTTGTCGAATATTATAACTTGAGTAAACCGAGTCAACTGAAATTACATCCTTTTGCTCCAGAGTTGAAGGTGTCTGACATTCCGATGCCCAAGGTGAGCAGTTTGAGTGACATCACGATAGATGACGATCAGATGGTCATTAACAGCTTCCTGGCTTCCACAGAAACAACTCCGTCGAAGGAGCGAGCAGCCGGTAAGACAAGCACCATATAGGTTCAACACAGCTGTCTTTATATTCCTTGTATTCTAAGTGGAACATGGATTCAGACACAGTTTGAATTGTGGATCCAGAGGCTGGGTGTTGTCCATCAACAAACTTCTTTTATTAAACTTAGTGTACCGGTACTTAGACTTTGTACATTTAGAAGTTGTACAAGTGATCTTTTGTTTGAAACTCACCAACCAGCGATATAACATTGGACAATATATGTTTGATTGAAAAAAATCATGAATGTGAGGGAGCATTCATTGAGTAAAAGTCTGATTGTGATGCATGTTTTACAGAAGACATAGGTGATGATTTGAGGGAGCATTCATTGAGTAAAAGTCTGATTGTGATGCATGTTTTACAGAAGACATAGGTGATGATTTGAGGGAGCATTCATTGAGTAAAAGTCTGATTGTGATGCATGTTTTACAGAAGACATAGGTGATGATTTGAGGGAGCATTCATTGAGTAAAAGTCTGATTGTGATGCATGTTTTACAGAAGACATAGGTACTCTTTTAACCAATATATATGAAAAATTTGTGGTTAGTCTTATGCGGAACACCAAATTCATTCTTAAAAAACTTGTTAATTTATGTATATGATTGACGACCATAAAGATTTTCCATGACACAACTTGTAACATAATGATTTCTTCCTCGGAAGCGAGGTTGTGGTCGAAAGTAACAATAATATTGTAAGTAGTATTATATTGACACCAACCTCGCTTCCACGAGAGAAATTGTTATGTTATGAGCTAAGTCATGCAAAATCTTATTGGCCATCAATCAAATACATAATTTACTACCAGTAGAAAGTAGTTTTGATTTTGTAACTCGGTGAAAACAAACCTAAATAGCATTTATCCTCAGACTGGGGGATGTTCGCAACAGTGTGCTGTCATTTTTGAAAATCGTAAAGTCACAGGCTAAATTCTGTTAGATTTAATGAGATCATGGTTTGTTTTCATCAAGTTAGAAAATCAAAACTACTTTCTACTCGTAGTTACATATGTATTTGAAATGACCAAAAGGATTTTGCATGACACAACTTGTAACATAACGATTTCTTCCACGGAAGCGAGGTGGGGGTCGAAGTGACAATATTGAGCGATAAAGTTCTTGCTACATTCACGTGGTTAACGTCCACTCACCAGTATGTAGATACTAGTCAATGTACGTCTTTATATTTGGTCTTATAATCCTAAAGTCTGATTGTGATGCATGTTTTACAGATGACCTAGCTGAAGATTGTGAGGAAGCATTCATTGAGTAAAAGTCTATTTGTGATGCTTGTTTTACAGATGACATAGGTGATGATTCTGAGGGAGCATTCTTCGAAGATGATTACACGGCAGAGTATAACGTACAGGACGATGAAGACCTTTTGGAGGATGATATCGATGAGATGTCACATGAACCTGTGGAGAGAGAGGAACTTGTGGAAACTGGCAGTGTGAATACAGACTCTGACGATGCAAACATCCCTCCTACAGAGGGGAAGGAGGGAGAAGAGAACAGCGCTGTACCAGACGTCCCTCCAACAGAAAAGAGTCCTATAGAAGAGAACAAAGAAGAAAGTGGTGCAGAAAAATCTGATAAGCCGTCAGAACCTCCCAATAATGTCGCTGACCATGAGCACTCTACAGAGGACGCACAATGTAGTTGAGAACACTTAAGATTAACTACACAGTGAACAAGCTATGTCTTGGACAGTATCAGTGATATACAAACTGCAGATTGTCTCTCTCATCATGTGATTAATATATAATTGAAATCTGTTTAGTTTAAAATATCCATCATGCCTATGTTTTATCTTAGGGATTGCCTGACAGGCCAGTGCTTGTTAACTGGCTACATTGTACATACTGCAAATACTCATGGCTCTGTGGTTTCATGGTGGCCCGACAGATACATACATGTGTTTACATAGTGTATACAAATATATATGCAACAAACATTGATACAAGGTGATGTCTCAGATCCAAGAACTGTACATTCATTGATCGTGTTCATCATCATGTAAGTATATTTACAGTCAGAGGCCCAGATAAGCTGCCTATCCGGGTAAAATAAGCATAGAAAATTTCCAATGAAGCATTGAAAAATAATTCTTGTGTACCAATTACACATTTAAAATGTTAGATACGCAAAAAGTTTAAAACAAATGCGTACGGAATATATTTATAAAAATCGCTTACGTTATGAAAAAGACATTGATTACTATCAAGTTGTACTGTTAGTATAGGACAAGTGTTGTACTGTCAGTATAGGATGAGTGATTTTTTATGAAATCATTTCCATTATAGTTAAGTTGGTTTTGATTAGGTATGACATAAGGCAGAACATACCTGCTTAGTAAACTTACTCAATGACATAATACTTAGGTGAGTAAAATGACTGAAATACGCACATATTTGAAAGCAGTGGGTAACGGAAAATGAAATACCCACTCAACATTCATAATACCCACTCCAAAAAAAATACAGTGGGTACAGTACCCACATGAGCTAAATCTTATCAGGAGCTCTGTACAGTGCTGCTGACCTAGTGACAGTATCTGTGGCATCCAGGAAACCCAGAGGTTCGGGACTTGAAATTCATGATAGTCCTCTAGCCCAGCACTATTACTTGTGCTGTGGACTAATCCAATGATGGTGGCTCTCTAGGATGGCAGTTCTTGTTGGGTATCAATGAGACACAGATGTTCTGCTCACTGCTGTCCGTGTCGGGAATTCATGGTTCAACAAACCAGTGGCACTGTACAGGAATACAAGTACATGTGTATCAGGAAAGATAAATCCATGTGAGGGTATCCAAGTGGTTAATGCGTTTGCTCATCACGCTGAAGTCCTGGGTTCGATTCCCCACATGGGTACTATGTGTGAACACATTTCTGGTGTCCCTCGCTGCGATATTGCTGGAATATTGCTAAAAGCGGCGTAAAACTTAAGACAGTCACTCACTATAAGTCCATGTGTACTTGTATAAGGCCAAAGTAAATAAATTACTATATTTACATCCCGATTTGGAAAAAATGTTAAAGACGGAGGATTATATTTTGGGTATTATTTTTTGCTTTTAATATTCAAGACACTTAGTCAGCTGTTGTGTTTGAAAGGAAACAGGAACAGTTGGTAGGAATGTGTAGTTGAAGAGAGAAAGTTACACAAATATGGGTACTGTCTATATCTGTGGGGACTGGGGAACAACGGAAATATGTGAGGCGGGGTGCTTGGTACTGATGCAGGCAGGCTGGGAATGTAATAATTAGTTTATTGTGGCCTAATAACAACAAGCGATATGGTTAACATTAACTTTATCTTCTGACAACATGTTCAAATGTTCTTAAACCATTATTTATATGTCTAGTAATCTGAAGTTTACTGAACATTAGCTTGGGTCTCTGATCTGCTCTTTTGAGGGTGCAGCACCTACACACAAGAGGTGTTTAATGTCATGGAGCTAAAGTCAGTAGACAATTTATGATGATCAATCAGTAAATTGTAATATACTGAGAGAAACAAATAAAAGATCACAGGAAAATTCAAGCTTCCTTTATTATTTTCCAGTTTTCATCACCACAGCGTTTTCTGGTGATGAAAACTGGAAAATATGAAAGGAACGCTTGACTTTTCCTGTGATCCTTTATTTGTTTCTCTCAGTATATATTTAGGTATGACCTAACCTAATGGGTGGAACAGGTTGTCTAGGATTCCAGGACCCAAACTGCAGTTTTCTTGATTGCGAAACATTTATTTGGTACAAATATTGGGTAACCATGGTAACAATAGAAGATTATTTGTTTCATGAGAAGCCATAATGACACTCATCTGGGATGCACTCACAGATTCTTGACAAACTGGACCTCATATATCCAGACATCTGTAAACTATGTCTGGATAACTGAATATCATGTGGACCTGCCCTGGTTCTGACTCATCTGAGTGGTTAAAATCTTCACTTTATAGGTAGATAATATCTGTTGATACTGATCTGTTACCTGTGTGATACAGCATGATACAGGAGTCAGCAGCTGGGTGTTAATACTTGACACCTGATGATAATGGAGTTTCATAGCTCTTCATAATGTAATGCATTTATTTCTTTATACATTTGCATAGACGTGATGCATCTGTGTAGATATATGTTATGCAGCTTTTTAGACTTGATGCATGTGGGTAGACATGATGCAGTTGTGTTGATGTGATGCATCTGTGTAAACATGATGCAATTCGACTCATGATTCTTGATATATTACCTCTTGTACCTCCGGACTTGAATGTAGGTAACCTCAAGAACATGGCAATAAGGACAGAGTGAGGAAGTTCCCACCTTCAGAATGTGTGTATTGTAGTGCTTGGGGTGCAAAATGCTCACAGAGTTTTGTTTAAATCATTAGATGAGTTGATGTGCTTTCCATAAATTTCAGCTGTGAAGGTATCACTTTAATGTTTGTAGGATCACAGATTGTTTTTCCGCTCAAACAGAAAGTTGGAAGAGGAAAAGAATAGTTTATACCTGGTCAGAAAACATAAACAGATAGAAAGCTTTGTGGTTATTAGGTTTGTTACGAAGATGGAAGAGCAGTTCTCCATGGTGCCATCGTCGTTGGTCTTCCCCCTGCTGTGATGTTGCCAGAATAATGCCAAATGCGTCATGCGTGATTGTGTGATGTGTCCACAAAGATGCAATAGAATTAGTTGTATTTTTTAGATGAGGTGAGCAGATGTCTGATGCCCAACTATAACCCTCCCTACACAAGGGATAGCAAGCCACCAGTGTTTGACGTGTTCTCTCACAGATGTGTTTGATTGCCCATGTGGGTGCAAGCTGTGAACACTATTCTGCGGGTCTCTGCTGCCATATATGTTTCCGCTTCAAGCTGACCTTGAACAACACTGTTCAATGTATGTTACATGGAGTTTGTTTATATCATTGACGATATTTTATGTTGTTTCAGGAAAGGGATTTTATGACACTGTTATTTTATTTTGATACGATACATATCGATGTGTGTTAACACTTGTATGTACCAACTATTTCACAATGACGATCCCAGTTATTTCACTCCAGAGATCACTGTTATAACACGTGATGGATCCAAGTTATTACACATTGTGGATCTACATCTATGTCTGACGGTGCATGGTTCTACGTCTGTAGCTGCACAGTTCTAAATCTGTAGGTGCGTATCTGTAGGGCACAATTCTACGTCTGTTGGGCACCATTCTACACCTGTAGGTGCATGTCTGTTGAGCACAATTCTACGTCTGTAGGGCACAGTTCTACGTCTGACCTGTGAAGATCCGGGTTAGAATTGATCTTCAGTAACCCATGTTTGTTGTAAGAGGTGACTAATGGCACCGGCTGGTCAGGCTCGCTGGCTTGGTTGACGCATGTTATCGTATCCCAATTGCATAGATCAATGCTTATGCTGTTGATCACTAGATTGCCTGGTCCAGACTCGATTATTTTACAGACCGCCGCCATATAGCTGGAATATTGCTAAGTGCAGTGTGAAACTAAACTCACTCACTCACTCACTTGTTCTAAGTCTGTAGGTGCACGTCTGTATGGCACAGTTCTACGTCTGACATCGATAAACTTTTCTTTTCAAACTGTCATGTCAAGACAAATCAATGAAATCAACAATTCTTTCATTTTAACCTGTTGAACACTGGAGATAAAAGTTGGTCTGACATAAGGAGAAAGTGGCATGGTGTATATTTGGCTTATGTGACCAGTTCAATTCAGTCCAATACAACACCAGTTCACGTTGTATGTTGTATGGGTATTAAGAAGTAGAATGCATAACAAAAAACAGATTTATGGATGTCAACTTCTGTATAACACAATGTGTCGGAGTGTATGCTTGCTCCTTCATCCTTCAGCATGTATACACTCTGAAACGTCGTGCTATGTACAATAAAGAAGTTGACATCCATAAATCCTGCTTTTCTTGGACTTACAGGGTGAACCTGACTTGTCTGTATCAGTCTTTACTTTGTTATATGTACCTGCTGCTTGTAAATAGGAAATATCGGATGTGGTGCTTTGACACCGTGTGCTACTGTGATGTCCTACATTGGGGATTACAAGAAGCTATGTTAGATATGTCAAACATATTTTTTGATTAATTTGATTGTTGAAACTGCAGTTATTTTATGCAAAAATATAATAAACCAATTCCATTAATCATTGGTCATGTGGTGAATGTATGGAAGATGCACATGCTGGCATGCTCATGATGATTCTCAGATAAATTCAGTAAAGTAACCCTTTCATCAGATTCGTCTCAAGAACTTACTGCAAAAGATGGAGTGGAGTGAATACAGCTCTGTATATAGAGCCTTGGCCTGTGTGACTGTACCATCTATGGTGGAGTGAATACAGTTCTGTAGAGAGCCTTGGCTGTGTGACTGTACCATCTATGGTGGAGTGAATACAGCTCTGTAGAGAGAGCCTTGGCCTGTGTGACTGTACCATCTATGGTGGAGTAGAATACACTGTACCATCTGTAGAGAGAGCCTTGGCCTGTGTGACTGTACCATCTATGGTGGAGTGAATACAGCTCTGTAGAGAGAGCCTTGGCCTGTGTGACTGTACCATCTATGGTGGAGTGAATACAGCTCTGTAGAGAGAGCCTTGGCCTGTGTGACTGTACCATCTATGGTGGAGTGAATACAGCTCTGTAGAGAGAGCCTTGGCCTGTGTGACTGTACCATCTATGGTGGAGTGAATACAGCTCTGTAGAGAGAGCCTTGGCCTGTGTGACTGTACCATCTATGGTGGAGTGAATACAGCTCTGTAGAGAGAGCCTTGGCCTGTGTGACTGTACCATCTATGGTGGAGTGAATACAGCTCTGTAGAGAGAGCCTTGGCCTGTGTGACTGTACCATCTATGGTGGAGTGAATACAGCTCTGTAGAGAGAGCCTTGGCCTGTGTGACTGTACCATCTATGGTGGAGTGAATACAGCTCTGTAGAGAGAGCCTTGGCCTGTGTGACTGTACCATCTATGGTGGAGTGAATACAGTAGAGAGAGCCTTGGCCTGTGTGACTGTACCATCTATGGTGGAGTGAATACAGCTCTGTAGAGAGAGCCTTGGCCT